AGATTCGAGAACGCTGACCGTGTTATTAGCAGTTCGTTCTTGTCTAGGTACGACACCAATTTCACATTTGGTAGAGGGGAGTGACTTATATGTGGGTAGAAAAATGTATGCGTGGAGACAGTATGTTCCGCCCCCCCTTCGGGGGGGCTCCACTTCGTTAAAAATAACCCTACCCACCCTATGTCAGAGGTGTGGAGTGGATCTCGCTTCACGTGGAAAGTTGCAAACCCATGTGGAACAGTACAATGGTGGAAGTACATGCGTGAAGACAGTGTGTTCCGCCCCCCCTTCGGGGGGGCTCCACTTCGTTAAAAATAACCCTACCCACCCTATGTCAGAGGTGTGGAGTGGATCTCGTTTCACGTGGAAAGTTGCAAACCCATGTGGAACAGTACAACGGCGGAAGTACGAGTTAGGAAATATATTTATTATTTGTATCCTTTCTCAGCCTGTATCTCCGAAACTATTTGAGTCCCCCCTTATATATATATATATACATATATGAAATGACTCGGGAAGACATCCCCAACAACATATTTAAAAATAAAACAAATCGGAGAGGAAGTCGCTTTTATGCATAATTACCGTCTCATCTAATAACCTCTCGAAATTATCACTATCATCGGATAATAGTTGATATTCTTCTTCTTCATCGGTCTCATCTAATAACCTCTCGAAATTATTGTCGATTTCCATTTCTTCGAAATTATTATTTGCTTTACTGACAGATCTCCTACTGTGGTACAGTGGACTTGTGAACTAATTTATATATATCATAGGAAAGTCTGTGGAGAGGGAAATGTTTATCAAGTGTACGCGATAGCCGCGTACGCGTGCACCTTATATATCACTTTTTAACATTTTTTATCAAGATTTCTCTATGACTCCTTGTTTCCTCATGTCTTCGATAATTTTATCCACCTCCCCACGCATTTGCAAAGGAATGCGGCGTGGAACCTGCTTTATTGGGGAAGAATCTTTGATATTAATAACTTGTTCGAGAACGTCACAGTTTCCTGCGACATTCTCTTCAGCAAAAACTTTAAATTCGTTCAGAAAAACAGCAAAATCTTTTTTGGATATTGTCAAGGTTTCGAGAATTCTCGACATAAAGTTTCTCTAAGGCGGAAGGAACTCTTTCTGAAGACGTTTCTACGCGGGCACAACTAATTCTTCATTGGACATTGGACTTCACTGGAATCGAATATACGAAAGGCAGTGGTGAAAATATTTACTAGATTTATTCTTTTGAGAAAATCAACACCGAGTAGACAATCAACACTGAGTAGACAATCGTCACAAATTTTAGCAACGAACATCGGGATTTCCAAAGAATATTTTCCGATTTCGACTTTAACTAAACCTTACTTTGAAAGGGAACTCTTTCACCGGTGGGATATTTTAGATTGCTTACTTTCTCTTTAAACCTTTCTTTTTTATTCCTTATAAGCTTCTCATTCACTATGGAAACGTCAGAGCGTATCAATTTTAAAGAAACAATTCTTTCCGTCAACTTTCCCCTTGTAGCTAAAATCCTTACATTCATCATCAGAATCATTTTCATTTATAGCAAACATCATAAAAATTGTCAGCATTGTAATTATCACGACGCAAATCAATTTTCTTAACGTGTAATTTATTCGAGGCAGTTTTTCCAACAGTTGAGATAGCCCCGCCGAGCTCAACTAAACCGCGTCTCCCTCTTCAGGGCATTCGGCTCGGAAATGTCCCGTTTTCCGCACGTCCAACACTCGCGTCCGTAGGCAACGGATTTCTTTTCGCGCCAACTTCCTCTTCGGGCGTTGCCTTCCTTTTCTTTTACTGTGGACTTTTGGCCGCTTTCGTTCTCCCACCCTTCTTCTGTCTTCTTTTTTTCTTTGTTTGCACCGCCCCCATAAAAATTTTCTTTTCCCCTCTCGAAACTTCCCCCTTGAATTATTTTTATGGCCTTCGCTCTCTCGATGGCCAGGTTCAGAGAAGAAACTCCAGTTGCAGGGTTCGTCTTATAAAATTATCCCATACAGCAGAAACAAACTGTGCACAAGCGATCTTATCGCGAACGTAAGGAGGGCATTCGGGGTACGCAAGGCGAGAGAGCCTTTCAAGCTCAGTACCGAACGCGACCAAGTCTTCCCGAATCTTTGTTTCCGGTTTATGAATTGCATATAATAGCTCTGGGACTGTTGTCCCTCTCCGAAGCGCAACTCCAGCTTGGATCGTAATTCCGAATATTCCAAGTTTTCTAAATCCGATACGGTTTCTAAGATCGAACGCGCCTTCCCTCTTAAACATGAAGCGAGGGCCACCGCCTTTGAAGCGTCCCCCCAACAATTCGCACGTGCGATCAGGTCGAATTGTGAAAAGAAATCGCGCAGCGGAACGGTTCCCTCGTACGTGTCCGGTTTAAGTTTGTAACCGAGCAATGCACACGCGTCGCCTTCTCCAGTGTGTGGGCGCTCCGAGCCGGCGCGATTCATTCCCTCTCGGTACAATTCCGCGGCCCCGATATTATTAGAGTGACTTAGCTGTGCTCGATGCTGTCGAAGCTCCTCATCGCGTTGGCGGAGGGCAGTCTTGAGCTCTCCTTCCCTCCGCGCTTGATCATCGCGCATCTTTCGTATCTCTTGGAGAAGCGTTTCTAGGGATACCACCTCCATCGTCGGCTGCGAGGCGTCTGTTCGGGGCGTTTCCGCCCGGAGCCTTTTCCTCGGAGGAGCCGTCGCCCGTCTTCGCTCGTCCTATCCCGGACGAGCCCCCAAAATGTTGCGCCTCACGTGGAGAAGCAAGCCGTTGGATCCGGTCCGCTTCTTTCTAGCACCAGCACACTCGCATGCATGCACGTCCGCGGAAATAACGAAAGACCGAATTGCACTAGGAAACAGGATTTAATGTGTGACGAACCGCCCCTCTCGTCACTAGTCCTGGCCGACCATCCGCCTCGTGGCGCTATGCGCCACACGCATACTTCCGTGCACGCCCCACGCAGGGCACCGACCGAGCGAGGAAAGGGACTAGCCCCTTCCACCGCGCCTCCCCGCCAGCCACGGTCTCGCGGGTATAAAGCGAGCGGCCGGAGCAACCGAGGCATCCAGTCCCGTCTCGACTCCGATCCCGACGCGACCGCTCCCGATACCGATCCACCAAGTTGCCCAACCTCCTTCGTGCAACGGGCGCTCCCAACCTCCTTCGTGCAACGGACGGGTGCCCCCGTCCGCATCCGGGTACTCACGGAGTACGAGTCTCCGCCGTCGGGTGCCCCCGGCGGTTTTTGGCCTTAACCCCGACCGGGCGCTCCCGGTGCCCCGTCGCACTGGACACGGGTACTCCCGTCTCCAGCTGGGTACTCCCAGCGTGCGAGCCGACTCCGATCGGGCACTCCCGATCGGCCTGACCTGCCCCCGTAGACCGTAGATATAAGACCGTAGATATAAGACCGTAGACATAAGACCGTAGACCGTAGATGTAATACCGTAGACGTAAGACGGTAGACGTAAGACCGTAGATGTACGACCATAGAGGTAAGCCCGCAGATGTACGACCGGAGACCGCGATTCCCCAGCCGACCCCGCCAGCTCTAGTCCTTCCGACCGCGGACCGCGCCCTGTCACCTGTACGGCGAATCTAAGTGTAAATCCGCGACGGTGCAACCACGCACACACGACATACACTTACACACACACACTTCCCAGCGCTTACACCCTCCCCCCTTTTTCACATTGTACATGCAAACAGAACAAACAAACGTCGATTTACAACACGTCAGTGTCTTACCGCTTTCTCACCCTGACCCCCGGCGAGCGAAGTCCGAGCGCGGGAAAAGCGGAACGTTACATGGCGCCCGAACAGGCTCACGACCCGTGAGACACTGACCTGTTCCCCGACGTAGCTCATGAAGAGCTGGATATACAAATGATCTAAAACCGTAGTTGCGGCCGAACTAGAGAGGCTCGGCCTCGATAGCGCCGGCTCGCTAGACTCCCTCCGCCGCCGTCTGCGGCAGTACACCGAAACTAACCCGGGGTATCAGTACCCCATGCCTACAGGGGAAGACCAGAACGACCAGGGAGAGGGGATAAAGGACGGAATCGACCAACAAAGGACGATGGAGGAAAACACGGACCCACCGACAGGGGCAGCAGCTACACCGGACACCCCGAAGGCGATGGACCAGATCCGAAAGTGGGGCTGTCATTTTGAGGGGAAGGATCCCCTCGCATTCTTGGAACGAGTGGAGGAGTTGCGCCAAGGCTACGGGTTCTCCGGAGAGCAACTCCTACGGGGACTGCCGGAACTCCTCCGGGGCGACACCCCCCTGTGGTACCGCAACAGCAGAGAAAGTGGACCTCCTGGGATGACTTCGAGCAGGACTTTCGGCAGCAATATCTGCCCCGCCGCCACCACGCGCAGTTAACGCGTGAGATACAGGGCCGATTCCAGAAACCGGACGAGGCGTTCAGCAGATATGCCACAGCCTTGCTAACCAGCATGCGGCGCGCCGGAGGCTTCACGGCCGAGCAGCAGCTCGACCGACTGTACGAGAATATGAGCCCGGAGTACAAGCTCTACATTCGCCTGGACGACCTGACCAGCCTGGGGGACCTGAGTACGCGAGCGGCCGAATACCAGGCCATCCGACAGCAGACGCGGGAGCGACAAGCCGAAAGCAAGGCCCAGACCACCAGCCCCACTGTCGCCTCCGCGACCTATAATCGCGAGGAATCCTGTTGGCGATGCAAGCAGTGGGGGCACACTCGCGCGGACTGCAAACGACCTGCCCGGAAATTTTGCTCACGCTGCGGCAAGGATGGGGTCCTTACCCGCGACTGCCATCCAACGGCGGGAAACGGGCCACGGGCCGGGAGCGCAGCCGCCGCTACCCAACCGTTCGTATAAAGTACTTGCCGCGGCCCCACATCACCGTGCGAATCCGGCGGCGAGCCGTCCAGGCAGTGATAGACACCGGCTCCGAGGTATCCTTCATCAACGCCGAGACCGCCCGGATGGCCGAGGAGCTAGGTTACGACGTGCACCCGGGAACCAACTCCGTGGAACTCGCGGACGGGGAACCATCCAAGATCGGCGGCACCATGACCCTACCTGTAAGGATCGGGAAGGACCAGCTCTCCCATGACTTTCTGGTCATGCCCTCGGCCAGGAGCGCGATGCTGGTTGGCGTTGACCTGTGGGCCAGGACACGAATCCAATTGTCACCGCCACCCCGGAACCTGGCAAGTCGACAAAATCCAACCTGCGGAGCTACGACCCAGGAGCTGGCCACACGCACGCCCAAGGAAAAGCAACGACTCCAAGCGTTCCTCGACCACGAACTCACCCTATTCCAGGGGGTCACGGGCCCGACCGACCGAATGACCCACCACCTGCGGGTCACGACCAGCCGACCGATCAAACAACGATACCGACCTCGAAACCCGGCCATGCAGGCCATCATTAACAAAGAGGTCGACAAAATGGAACGGGAGGGGGTAATCGAACCCTCTCACTGGGCATGGAGCTCCCCCGTGGTACTGATACGGAAAAAGGATGGGTCGTATCGGTTCTACATCGACTTCCGCCGAGTGAACGAGGTAACGGAGAAAGATGCGTACCCACTGCCCCAAGTGGCAGCCACGCTGGACAAGCTACGAGGGGCCCGCTACCTATCCACCCTGGATCTTCGAAATGGATACTGGCAAGTGCCCTTGTCGCCCGAGAGCCGCCCGGTCACTGTCCCCGGTAAGGGGCTCATGCAGTTCCGGGTAATGCCGTTCGACCTCCACTCCGCCCCGGCTACGTTTCAAAGTGGACGAGGTCCTGGGACCCGAATTAGAGCCCCACGTCCTGGTCTACCTAGACGATATTGTCATCATCAGCCGAACCTTCGACGAGCACCTCCGGTTATTGGCCGAGGTCTTCCACCGCCTCCGGGAAGCCAAACTCCGCCTGAACCCCGACAAGTGCCATTTTTGCCGAGATCAATTGCGGTACCTGGGCCACCTCGTGGATCAAAACGGCATACGAACAGACGCGGACAAAGTCAGCGCCGTGGCAGGGTGCCCGGCCCCGACGACGGTACGCAGGGTGCGCCAATTCTTGGGGATGGCCTCTTGGTATCGGCGTTTCGTCGCAAACTTCTCAACCCTCGCAGCACCGCTCACCCGCTTGACACGCAAAGGGGCTAAGTGGAGTTGGGGCCCCGACGAGGAGGGCGCCTTCCGCCAACTAAAAACTGCACTGACCTCCGCCCCGGTCTTAGCCTGCCCGGACTTCAGCCGCCGATTCATCCTGCAGACCGACGCCAGTGCAGTCGGGCTAGGCGCAGTATTGACGCAGCACCAGGAGGACGGCGAGCGAGTAATCACCTACGCCAGCCGTACCCTTAACGGCGCCGAAAAAAATTATAGCGCCACCGAGTTGGAGTGCCTCGCGGTCGTCTGGGGCATCCGGAAGATGCGAGGGTACCTGGAGGGATATGCTTTCACCGTCGTGACCGACCACCAATCCTTGCGATGGCTACAGCGGCTAGAAGAACCGAACGGCCGGCTGAGCCGCTGGATGTTCGAACTCCAGCAGTTCGGCTTTGACGTCCGCTACCGGAAGGGGAGTGCGAACAAGGTCGCGGACGCTCTCTCCCGCCAGCCCGAGGTATGCGCAGCGCAAATGTTGCCACGGTGCACGTGGTACTGCAGGATTCGTGCAAACACAGCCCACCGATTTCCCGGACTACCAAATCCGGGAAGGCCAACTGTACCGCCACATCCTCCACGACGTCGACTTCCGGGAAGTCGACCCCGCTGATCAATGGAAGCGGTGCGTCCCGAAGGACGAAAGACGGCAAGTTATGCAAAGGCACCATGAGGACCTCACGGCGGGCCATTTCAGGTTCGCAAAAACAATCGCCCGCATGGCCCGGTTATTCTGCTGGCCCGGGATGTTCCAAGACATCACCCGGTATGTACGGTAGTGCCCGACCTGTCTCGCGCACAAAGCCTCGCCGATGAAGCCGGCCGGGAAGCTCCATACGGCCCCAGTCACCGCACCCTGGCGACAAGTCACGCTCGACCTCGTGGGCCCCCTGCCGCGGTCCCTGCAGGGCCACGCGTGGCTGCTGGTCATGCAGGATCGATTCACCAAATGGGTCGAATTGAAGCCACTACGCCGGGCCACCGCTCCCGTCGTCACCAAGGCCCTCGTAGATCGGATCATCTACCAACACGGCTGTCCGGACCAGATCATCTCCGACAACGGCACCCAGCTAAGATCCGACCAGTTGGAGGGGGTGCTCCGAGCCTTCCGGATAGAGCACCGAACCACGCCGGTGAGAGCACCCCACTGCAACCCAGTGGAACGCACCGGACGCTGAAGACGATGATCGCCCAATACGTGGGCAAGAACCACCGACGATGGGACGAGCAGATCGCCCCATTGCAGTTCGCATACAACGCGGCCCGGCATGAGGCCACCGGATATACCCCGGCCTATCTGAACTGCGGGAGGGAACTCGCACTTCCGCATCCGGAGGACCGAAGGCACACGGCGAACGAGGCCCCGCACCATACGAGACGCCGGCTGGAGGAGGCCTACGAGGTGGAGCGCATAAACCTAGCCCGAGTGTTCCAGCGCCAAGAAGCACAGTATAATCTCCGCCGCCGAGCGTGGCGACCCAGCATCGGCGACCTCGTGTGGAAGCGAGAATACCCACTCTCCAAGAAGGCGACCGGCTTCAATGCCAAGCTCGCCCCGAAATATACCGGCCCGTGGGAAGTGCGGAAAATCCGGTCACCCGTTATCGTGGATCTACGCGACACCCGTGGGAAATGGCAGCGACACATCCACGTGCAGGATCTCAAAAACACGCCCCGCGAATCCCCCCGCCAGACACCGACCGAGGACGACGCGGAACCCGAGGCGTAAACAAGTCGCCAAGGCCACATCCGAAAAACACACGCCGAGCTCGGAGCGTGACGCCTGACACAAGAAAAAAACAACCACCACCGTGTTTACCCGATAGCGCCAGCTCCGTCACCATTCAGTATTCGTTCAGAGCTCCGAATGTGCACTTCGAGCGATGGAGTAACGCAACGAGCTAAAGGCATTGTTCGGGGATATCTCCGACCTAGACGACCCGTGGTCCGTACCGATCGACCCCGGGCCGACCACCAACCCGGGAAGCGTCCCGCGTTCCAGGGTGCCAGGCGTGGGTACCCACATCCAGCGAGGCGACGCGGAAAGCCGTCGGCGGGCGATCTTCCTGACCGAACCGGTGCCGCCGCGGCCCGCCCGACGTCGGTCCGAGCCGACTGGAGGAACCAGGCCAAGCACGCCGAGACGCAGCCGCGCCGAGGGGACCGGATCGGGCCCCGAAATCACGGCCCTGACGGCCGCAGCGTTAGCCCGAGCCGCCAATCCGCCGCGATGAGTGACCAGACCCGGGGACGCCCGCCACACAGTGTTTCGAAAGTACATTTTTTTGGACAAACGAGGCTAGAGAGTTCAATTTTTCATCAAAAATAATGATTTTTTTTAAATGACTCCTAATAAGATAACGAATAAATGTAACGAGCCGGATTTTATGAAAGTTAATATTTGTACGAAACACAAAAAGTGTGATGCGAAGTGGCATGCGATGAACAGAGCGGTTGTACATTATGTAGTTGACTCGTACATTTTTCTGTTACGCTAATTCCACTGTTAATTGTACTTAAAAAGGTTTTCGAGGTACTGACTACAAATCCGAAGCCAGATTTTCAAAATTCAAAATGGCGGATCCAATATGGTGGGCGAGTTGAAAAGAACTGTTTGTGATTTCACGTAATTTTGAACCTAGGGGTTTTTCGGGATGCAGATTACGAATTCGATGTCAGATTTTCAAAATTCAAAATGGCGGATCCACTATGGAGGGCGAGTTAAAAAGAAATGTTTGTAATTTCACGTAATTTTCAAACTAGGGGGTTTTCCGGGATGCAGATTACAAATCCGAAATCAGATATATAGGTTCAGTATAGCACAACATTGAGTGTTAATCGAATGGAGAAACCCGTTGTTTACCAAAAAAGTACGGATCGAAAAGTTCCCCTGAGAGTAATAAAACATCAAAAACCACCATAGCAGTGGTGATGCGTCTAAAAATGGACTTTTATTGATGTTCAGTTCATATATATTTTTGAAAAAACAAAAAATTTGTATCAAGAATATCCGAATGGCCGAATAACGATAACGAAACATCGAGAACCACCCTTAGAAATAGTGATGTACCTAAAAATCATTCCCTTCTTAGCGCTACCCAGGATGAACGACGCGGACGTGATAGGGTTTTCATCCCATTTGGGTGCTTTTTGAACGTGAGTCCCCTTGCCTCTCACGAAAGGAAAATTATAGAATAATGTTGAAAACTGTTGAAATTGGGTTGTGAAATTTGTGTTTCAGAATCTCTATTTCTCGCTGAGAAACCCCCTAGTTTCAGCGTCATGTTTTACATGCATTCCTTCATTAACAGATCTTGTGCCTCAGGGAGTAATTCCTTTTGTTTTTTTGTCGATTCCTTTCTAAAACTTGAAACGTAAGGGTAGGAGGATACTAGTAAATAATGAAATAGGTCTTCCATCGTTTCTAGTCTTGATGTCTTTCTTGTGTGTTCGGTTCGATATTTCTTGACATCTTTATGGCGCGATTCTAGAGCTTCTTCTGACATACATCCCAGTGGAAGTACGAAATGATCAATTATATCTGCACCATGGATCAGGATCTTGTGCAATGCTACAGGCATGTAAAACCACGGGTACAGTGTAACAATCAGATCTGCCGTTTCATTACCATAAATACGGAATTTATTCGTGTCAATGTGTCTGCTGGACGCTAATACCTGTAAAATGACATACATTCGTTTCATAAGGTCTTTGTTGACGCCAGTAATTTCCGAGACCTTTTCGTAATTTTGAAAGAACGTTCGACTTGTATTTCCATCATTGGAACTGCCACTCCCTTGTTTCGGAGAATCTACAAGGATCCCTAACTTACTTCGTAGTTCGGATCGGATGCGTCTCTTTTCGGCCGTTTTTATTATTTCATTATCTCCTTTAGCTGTCCACTTTTTGAATGGCAATCTGTAGGCCAGATGAAGGATACATTCCATACATCTTATCCACGCATGCAATGTAGATAAGCCGAACTTATACGCTGAAACATTCGGTACTTTTGTTCTTGTGCGTTTTAGATTATTCATTTCCGATGGAGGAATATTGCATATTGGGCATACACTTGCAGCAGTAGTATTAGTTGCGTATTGGCAAACTTTTCCATCCACCATAGTGCAGTGGAGTTCATGAAAAACATTTAATGTTTTATCACCCACTTTCAACTCAGTGCTGACAAGATTTGTTATCTTTTCATTTATAATCGTTAGTTCTTGATGACCGTTTCTTTTCTTTCTTGAATGAATTCAATTTTTATAGGTCGACAGTAGAAAGTAGACGACGACCGAGCGTTATCCCAAATCACAACTTCCATAGAATCTAGCAAAAGTGCTTTTAATTGTAGCGGAACCATCGACGTTACAAACAAATATTTATCCGAGGCTTCTTCATCCTCAAATTTTTGTTTGTATTCGTTAAATCCTGACGTTCCATCAAGACCCCACTTTGTTACCAGGATTAGTTTTTCTGTCTGTTCTTTAATTGATTCTGGAATCGTTAACTTTGGAGTTTTTATTAATCGGTTGCAGGTGTGATCCAAGAGATCTTGCAGTTCCACTGAAGCGCACGTTTCAGTAATCTTTACTGCATTTTCATTGTCGGGATAACATTGCTTCTTCGCGTTTAAAAGCATTTTGTATGTAGGGAAAATGTTGGCGTTTTTTTCCGTAGCTTTTTTTTCGTACCAATTTGTATTGCGCGACCGTCAAATTAGCATCTAATGTAAGAGCTAATGCTTCCTCAGTGCTCATTCTACGGGTTTAACATTTTCCTCTCTTTCCGATCCCTGTGTAAGGATTTTATCAATAATTGGTACAACTTCTCCCCTGCCCAAACATTTCAATTTTGCATATAAAGCGTAAGTTATCTCCTCGAGTGTCATCTTGTTACAATAATCGTCAGATCGCCTTCGTTTTGTCTTTTCGGAACATGTATCAAAAATTTTTTTCTTTCGACTATCACGTGATGGAGCGGACAAAGGCATTTCAAAATCTTTCTGCAACCAATCTGCATTACGCGAATTGTTGCGAAATCTTTCTGAGTTGCAAAGAGCACTTCGCCATTTTGTGTTAAATGTTGGCATAAAGTACGTATGTATTTTATTTCGCAGTACCTCAATTTCGTCAGTGTAATTCAAATCATATTGATTAACAATATATTGAACTATAATGTCACTGCTTTTCTTGGAGTCCCTGACTCCGAGTGGCACGCGCTGAATGGGGTGTATATGAAAGGCTTTCTCGCAAACGAAGTTGCCGCCTCGATTCCTTATGAGTCTTGCGTCTGATACGAGTATTCATCTTCGATGTATTAGTGCTACTGCCATTTTGAGCTTATTATTTACTTTGCTTTTTTATTTGTTTCCGTGTTAAATTGTAATCTTTATTAAAAATAATATTACTTTTGGTAAAACTGCAGAAGAGGGGAGCCCTCCCCAATGACCTTGACCTTGACATATGTTGTCAAGGTCGCCCTCCTGAGTGACCTTCAAGAGGTTTTAGCCGTCGCTCGTAGTTCGTTAAAAAGATATTTAAAAAACAATGTCGACCAATTCTATGTAATTTTCAGACACAAATATTAAAAATTTTGAAAAATGTTTTAAACAAAAGTTGTTGATCACTTTAAAATATACATTTTATGTTCTATTAATTTTTACTGTACAAGTAATAGTTTAGTAACCTAAGTTAATATGAAAATCCGCATAAAAAA